TTCTTTAATTTGTCCATAATTGAAAAGCTTGGTATAAAATTGGTGGGGGGCCAACATTAACATCAATGCCAGTAGACAGTAATATTTGCTTTAGGATAAAGAACTAAAATTGTCAAAACAGGTTAAATGTTGTTGTCCTTTTGTTTTGTAATAACAAATGATGCAAAATGGACAAGAAAAAGATGAAACAGAAGTATGGTCAGAAAAGACTCTGTTAAACAAATTCTGCACACCACCAAAAAGAACTTTTGGCCACTTGAAATCATAATTCCGGCCATTTGGAATGCAAATTGATTAAGTCAGAAAGCTAATAGTTATGATTAACTGCGTGATGTTTCGACTCCTCCAAACCAAACAAGCCCATAATATAAAGAATGAACACCATTAAATCAATTGTGTGAATATCAATATAATTGATTGAATAGGTCGGTGAGCTGTACTGATGGGTGTTGTAGGGGCCTCACTGATTTTACCTCTCTTTTTCCTTAACTGATACGAATTTCAAAGCAGTTCAAGATGTGGATGCTTATCCCTAACACTAATCATGTTAAGAATATATCGTGACCATTAGATCCATAGTTTTTGAACCCGGCCCGGTGATCAACCCGAGCAGGTCCTCGGGTCACCGGTTCAACCGTCGGGTCACCGAGTCAATTGCTGAACCGGATAATTAATTTTAAAATTTTTAAAATTATATATAGAGTATTTTTGTTATATAAATATACATAAAAGTAACAAAATTAAATGTTTTGTGTATAAAATTTGTATATTAAAGGGTTAATAATATGTATCTTATGATAAATATTTATCATATAAACATATATACATATTTTTATTTTTAAAAAAACAAAAAAAATAAAAAAAAATATAAAAAATATATATGGACCGGGTCAACCCAGTTGACCCGGTCGGGTCAATGCCCCGGGTCGGCCGGGTCTCTGCCGAGTCGGCCGGGTTTTGATCGGGTTTGACCGGGTCCTTGGTTGCCCGGTCCAAATACTCCACCCGGACCGATTCCGGCTCCGAGTCGACCGGGTCCCGGATCGACCCGCCGGGTCGGTCCGGGTCTCAAAACACTGATTAGATCGAATAATCCAACAGACAAAGAAAAAAAGCCAATATTATATTCTCATTAAAGGCAGTTTAGACATTTCACACATCCCTCCACAAACCTAATTTTATCAGTGGGCCCCACATCGTAATCCCACCGGCCCATCCTCTCTCTCTCTTGCGGCAAGTCGTCTCCTTCTCCCGACCGTCGGCTCCCATCGTCGGTGAATCCGACCCCTCCGAGAGTCCGACGGCCGTCCGTCCGTGACCTCACCACCACTCACCGCCGATCTCGACGGTGCTTCCACCGCCATCTTGCAGGTTCTTCTCCATCACGACGGGGATAAAAATATCGTCTGTCGATCCAGACGATCAATTTTCGCCGAGAAATACGAAGCCAAGCTCTCCGATCAAAATCAACCATTGATGCACGAGCTCGAAATTCAAGTGTAGCATCTCGAAGTCGTACATCCTTGGCAACAAAAACAAGTTCTCCGGTGTATGAAACAACTCCTAGTGGTCAGACGGTCAGAAGACGAACAGTCACGGTGGTCAGACGTGAAAGCCTAGGTCAGCTCATCCACAACCATGGCGGCGCCGATTTTTTTCTCAGTTGTTGCGGCAGGCACAACGGTAGTTGTACGTGGTGGCTTCGGTCGACGACTCTCCGGTAATCGGGGCGACGACGGTAGGAGAGGTTGTATGAACGACACCTAAATTTTTATCGTAGGGGCTTAGTTTTGGGAATTAGCTCAATTCAAAGGGCCTATATGCATTTTCTGTAATTTTTTATTATATTACAGTTTAGTACTTGGGTTAAATATGTAATTTATAAAAAATATGCTAAATACGTATTAATAGACTAATAGTAAGCAAAGTGCACTGTATTGCTTGTGTATATGCGTGTTAAAAAATGTATGTGTTGTGTGATGCACGATAGTGCTAGAGAATATGCACAATGATAACACAAATGACTAAACTAGTCCTGCATGGGAAGTAAAAAATACACATATGTTATGGTTCTTCACATTTAGATTTTTAGTTATTTCGGTTCGGTATTGGTTTTCTTTTAAAAATAATCGAAATATTCGAATCAATAGAACTAATTAATCAATATTATTTTTTACATTATATATATAATTCAGTTATTTGACCGAATAAATTCGATCATTTTTAGTTCGGATTTAGTTTTATTTGGGATAAAAGGTCGGTTCGACGTGGTTATTCCGGTCGGCCGGTTAGTTTAATGAAAAGCCCTAAGCACGATATTGATAAATGAAATGCACAATACCGTTAGATGGTTTGCATATTAATTCATGCAAGAATGAACATTCGCGTATATTCCGCGCAAATTGACCCTGTGTGAAACAATTAAAATTACATTTATACAATATTTTGTATATTTATATGTATTAATATGTGATTAATTTATGAATATTCATTATATATGAATCGCGGATATGGGTGTGTAAAGTTCTACCAAAATCGAAAAAACAACCAAAACCACCCACATAAAAGTTTTGGTCTGGTTCTTTATATGTCAGTCCGATTATCGGATTTTTACTTTTAAAATTTTGATTATTTCAATACATTTGAAAATCAAATAACTGGCCGAACTATATACAAATTAATTTTTGCATATTTTTTACATGTATATTATTTTTTAAGCAAACAAATAATATAATTTATTAAATAAAAAAAAAATTAAAATACTAAATATGTTTTTATAATACAAATGGTAATTTATTTCGGTTATTTTAGTTAAGTTAGATAACCGACAAATTAAACCGATTATGTCATCTGATTTTAGTTCAGCTTGGAACAAAATTTCGATCGGTTCGGTTTTTCGAATATTCAACACGATTATTTCAGTTTTGATGTTTCAATCGACCGGTTCGTCCAAACCAACTGATAAACTACCTTAACGAGTCGGCATTTTAGTAAATTTGTAGAATTTTGAATGTGTAGGCGTTGACGATTCTACGATTTCGTAATAATACGACAATATATTTAATGTGCATGTTCTCACATAATATTGTGAATGTATTATTTTTTTTTTAAATTACCGATTTGCCTCCCATATTAAGTNCACCGACCACATTCACCAAGACCCACCAGCCCGTCGTCAATGCTACTGTCGCCGCCGCTGCCAACCAAACCACCCCTGGCTTTTCTTTCTACGCAGCACCACAACCGGCTCCTTCCTCTACACCATAAAAAAATATAATCAAGCCAATTCATCCACCTGCTCAACGCCGGCGAAGAACACGAGAAGGCTCACTGTGCCTGCACCGTGACCATTCGCGATGGGCCCCACACCTTGTGTGTCCATCCGTGTGCGTGTTATGTGGCAAATTTGGGCGGAGAAAATCAATGTTAAAGGTGGTTGCGGGGGAAGGCAGAGGAGGCGCTGGTGGTTGTGGACTGCAGATAGATGGAGGAAAAATGTTGATGGCGGCGACGACAGTAGTCCATAGCCGACGTTGGTCTTGGTGGCCGTTGGTGGACTCTGTGAACTGGCGGGCCGGCTGTTGTGGCGTCGGTCTCTAGTGTCAGGAGACTGGTGAATGTTGGCAGAGATGACTGAGGTAGAAGGCAAGCAGATTTCGTGTGCTTGTGAGTGATAGATATTAGGGTTAGTGGGATGGGTGGCACCCACTGGATGAGTTATCAATGATGTAATGACTAGTTTATCTTTAATTATTGGTAAATGGTATATATTTGACCACCATATACTACTTTATATTTGACCATATTTAATAAATTTTGTTCAACATAATCATTGACATAATGGATCCAATGGTACAGATTTATTCTAATTTTTTTCACTATCTACCATTCTCATATGATCTCGACTATATATATACACACACATATATATAAATATGTATGTATGTTTTAATTGAAAGAAATAAGAATGCACTATAGTTGTAAGAACAGATAATCCAACAGTAATAGAAGAAAAGACAAAATTATACACTCATAAAAGGGTATTTTGGACATTATCCCTCACCGCAACCACCCACCCCCACTCTATGTCTACCTGTGGGCCCCAACCTAGTCCACCTTCGCCGCGACTCTCATCACCACCACCACCACCACCAGCACTAGCACCACTGCCTAAGCCTGTATCAGCGCCAGGAAATAGCACCCCCACCGCCATCGCCGTCAGCCCCGTCCTTTCCCCTTCATTATCCCCGTCGACGACTCCACGAATGTCGTCACTAGCAACGTCCCCAACAACAACCCAACTACAATATTCGACCTCTCCTTTGCGGTCATCTCTCAAGCTGATTGAACCGTGCATTAAGGTCGTCCATCGCTTGTTGGATTACTGCTAAGGTTTGATGCATGTTGTATTGCCCTGTGCTTAGATGTTCTTCAAGGCGTGTTCGCCAACCGCTTAGCCTCTCATCTAAGCTATTGACTTTAGTCTTCAAGTTTTCGAGCTTCTCTTTTGTCTCCTTGTTGGCCACGCTTTTTTTTTNTCACGAACCGAACCTAACTCAACTAGTAATACGCATATATTTTCCTTTTTTTTTTCTAACAACTCACGCAAAAACCAAAACATCACTCGGATTATTTTTTTTGGAACTAAAAACTAAAGAGCTAAATAAAATACACGAAAAGCACCTCTCACCGAAAGCACCAGTGACGAAGATAGTGTGTTTCCCTAATTAGTTTTTCTTCGAAAGTTGCGTGAATGACTTCCTTCTCGGTAATAGGTTGTGGACAACTTAGATTTCTCCTTATCTTCTCACTAGTTTGAGACAGCTCGGACGTGATATCCTTGCCAAACTCGAGCTTATGACGAACTATGCGATTAAACGCCTTTTTTGGTACAAGTATTTTGCGATAAAACTCTAAGAATTCTAACAGAAGAAATTGGTGAACAATTGTTCGATTTTTTAATAAATTCAAAATGTATGAAAATTGAATGACAATGATAAGTATTTAAAGAGGATAACTAGGTCTAATCCTATGAGAACTAGATCTCCATTCTATGGAAAATCAAATCCTAAGGTTACTAAATATTTAATAACTCTAAAATAAATCCAACTTCTAAAGAATCTAGGAATAAATAAAAAGAACTCTTAATTAAGCTAAATAAATCGGCCCTAGGCTTCTAGAACCATCCATGACCTTGCTTGTTCCCCACGACCAGCTGCCTTGCTTGCTGGAGACGCCAGGCCTAGGTCTGCTCCGTCTACTGGGCGCTGGCCAGGGTCTTCTCGTGCAAGTCTTCCAGCTGGCGCACGTGTCCAATCCTTGCGCCTGAAGTGTTCGGTCCACAAAGCGATGGCCACGCTGCCTCGTCCGCGCAACTTGTGTTGCTCCTGCGCGCTGCCCGACCGCGCCTGCTCGTTCATGCACGCGAATAATCTCGCCGAGGTCGTGAGTGTCTGCATCGTCTCCTGCACTCGCAGTCTCTTTAGCGTCTCCGTCCCTCTGCGCTGTGTCCTGCGCGGGTGAACCTGCTATTGCGCGGTCTCGCGTGGGTCGTCTTGTCCCAGCGCGGTCGCCTCGGGTCGTCTCGCACTTCCTACTGTGGGTCTTGGCAGCGACCCAAACCTCTCTCTCGCGTGCACGTCGTGAGAGATTTTTTTAAAAATTTAAGTTGTTTGTATTTTGTATTCGTATTATGCTGTAGGCAACATATATAAATGAGTTACCCGATTTTCAACAAAAGTCAACATTGATTTTCATACATATTGAATTTTAGGTCTTCTTAAAATTATAATTATAAGTTTAAAATTAGCTACTCAATTGCGTTTGTCGTTGATTTTGTAACTAATAAAATATTTATCTTTGTTATAAAGAAATCCACGAATACTGACGTTGTAAGAATATCCGATGCAAAAGGAAAAAACATGTTGGTATTTGAAAAAATATATTTGATTAGATTTGAATTTATGTAATTATGAGTGATATAATATATAAGAACATGCAGAGAATAAATATCATTTTTTTTTGTACTTTGTAAAGGTTACGTTTGTGCCTCTTCAGTCTTGCGAGTCTGCGTCCGCCCCTGAACATAAGCATGGAGCCTTAACGAATTTTCTTGACGAACGATTTACATTTACGTTAACAGAAAACAATTTTTTTTTGCAATAATTGTAATCACGGGCGCACTTGATTGACATTTATTTATGTTGTTTATAACTCTTCATACTAGCTATTTTAGTCCAAGTTATCAGCGATAGTTGGGATAAAACGATAAAGTGTTGGGACCCCAAGGGTGCAAGCGGTCATGCTGTTAGGAATATTCTCTTGTTGGCACATACTCCTCGCATGAGCCCGAACAACGAAGGGAATCATTGCTTGCTTGAAAGTTACTTAGTACTCGAATGTGTCACCTTCAAAGCAGTCTCCATGGAGCAAGAAATGATCGGTGTATTTGTTGGATTGCTAGAATATTGTTTAGTTTTCATGATTTGACATGGTTGAATATTCGTACTTACTTTTGTTAGATTGCTAAAATATTATTAGATGAGACTATTTTAATTTTTGCACCAATTTATATTCTTCAAATGTATGGTTTATCGGGTAAATAAAGAAAAAAAAAACAAACAAATTTTGAATGGGGCAAGGTAGGGCTGGTCAGCTTGCCTCAGGGCTAGGTAGCGAGTCCAACTTGCTGGACGAGTTGCTGGTCACAGGCCAAGGCGGGTCCATGGGGCAGGTGCGGGCTAGGTTCGGGTCTGTAACTATCGATCCGACCTAGTCCATTGCCATCCCTAATGAAATCGTTACAAAATACTCCCTCCTATTTTTATTATTTGTTATCCTAGCTTAATTAATCATTTGTTAAATAAATGTCATTTTGGCTATTTTGTACATATTTTTCCATCATTACCCTCATCTAACTAATAAATACACTACGTCTTTTCATATTCACTCTCCATCTTTTCTCAAAACATCAATATCTATCCTCATTAATGAGGGTTATTATTGGCAAAAAAAAATTCTTAATTATTGTACAACTTCTCAAAACGACATTTATTAAAAATAGGAGGGAGTAGTATTTTTGAATACATAATCATTACGCTATAAAAAGTGTTGCACATTGAAATTTATCAACGCATAAATTTTGTGTCATCAAAATTCGTTATTACGACACATGTAATAAAGTGTCACATATTAAAATTTACAATGTAATGTGGTTCGTCGCCAAATTTATAATGATGACGCACTAAAAAAAGCATCAAGCATTACTATTACAGACGCAAATGACTAGCGTCACGAATTCTACAAAAGTGACGCATGTAGAAAAGCGTCACGCGTGAAATTTACCTACGCTAAAGTCTTGCGTCGCAGATAATTTCGTGACATCAAATTTAGCAACGCAATTCGCGACACTTTTAATAGTGTAGGTAATTTTTTTGTGACGCTAATAAACGTAATTAAACGAAAAAATAAGCGTCGCCAAATACCTTATTTCTTGTAGTGTATATAAGTGGAAAAAATCATTAAAGATCATGCCAAGGTGGATACTTAAAAATATGGGATGTTTTGCCTATAAATGCAATATAAACTTAATTAAAAAGATTACGAGATCTTTCCAACGAATTAAATCACTCGCTTTATGGACTACTTTTGATGAATATGTCGTTTCCTTGAAATTGTAGCATATCCTCTCGTGCTAGAACTTGTTTTGTTACTTTACAAGTGGAATCAGCTGCATCAATTTGCAAAATAACCCGTTTTAAAACTGATATGCTCCGTAACGGTTTTGCTATAGAGCCATCGGATGGCTCGGTTTATGGAGTCATCCTTAGCTATCAACAAATAATGTATTGACACGTGTCCTGCAATAAATACACATTAGACACGTGTCAATACATAAAGTTATGGATGGCTCTATAAAGGAACCATCCGATGGCTCCATAGAATTACTGTGCTCCGTAAAGGATATTTTGATGTCTTAAATTTTATCTCACATTGAATACTTTAAATAATATTTTCCAAAGAATAGTTACCATTCGGTACTCTAATGATTAAAAACCACATAAGCATATTTTAATATTTTGCAAGATTTCCAAACTAGCCAAAAATCTTTTTTTAAGTAATTAGGCTAAAAGTACGTCTTTATCTAATAATTATAAAGAAATAAAGTTGTGTCCTCAAAGTTTGCTGCGTGTGAAGAGGTAGCACATCAACGTAGTGTGATGTATATCATTTCTTAAGATCATTTTTGAATCAATGTGCTAGTAATATTAGATTTTACTCCATTAAATAAACTATTATATAATTGAACGGATACTTTGGAATAAACTATTATATTAATTGAACGGGTACGGCTTTAATGCTAAAAAAAGTTTGCTCTTTTTTTTTTTAATCATTTTTTGGGCATGCCTCAATCCATTTCTTTAAGATTTTAAAATTAATAAGATCCGTATGTAGAAAACGATTAACCAAGAAAATGGACCGTCGCGAAATTCATTTTCTAAATGGACTCCTGTTGAAGTTTAACCCGAAACGAGAACATGAGAAAGGTGTATAACATGTCACATTTACTTTCATTTTATTGGAGCTCTCTTTTACACTAAATATAGTAATTAGATGGAGTCTAAAGGGTATATTCTTCAATCATTCCACCTTTTATTTCACTAGTAAAGTACATGTACGCTGTTTGTGGACTATTGTTTATACGGTTTTAATTTTAAATTATATTTTTATTTTATATTTTTATTCTTCAATCTATATTTTTATACGATTTTAAATTATATTTTTATTTATATTTTATGATGTATCTAATTTTTTGAATTAATATTTTCAATTAATTATAAAAGTATATTTCATAATAAATTGTTTTAAATATATTGAAAGTCGGAATAAAATAGTCAAACAATATTATTTAAAAAACATGATGAAAAAGATTGAATGAAAATTTGGTTGACAAACTTTCATATCTAAGTTAATCTTGTTTGTTCGAAATTTTTGTAGTTTGCGGAAAATTGAAAAATATATATGCACAGCAAAACTAAATTGAAATCTTTTACAAGATCAATTGCATGTAATAGTTTACAATTTAATTACTTATCTTGTTGAAAAACATCATTTTTTCCATCATATTATTTACTAAATGTAACAATTATAATTTAATTTATATATGTTAGCAAAAGCTTTTATATATTAATTATATTATCTTCCTATTTCCAGTGACATAGTTTTCATATTCATTTTTTCACTTGATCTAGTTAATTATAGTTATTCCATGAGTTTTAAATATATACTAAAATTCAGGGTTGGGTAGAATTTTAGTTTAATTTTTCATTCAAATACTATTTTATTTTTCATGAACCA